AATAGCTTTGAAATTTTTTACTTTCATAGTTTTGGGGTTAGTTTGAAAGTATACATTGAGAAGATATAGATGAAGGAGTGTTATGGATTGTGATGAATTATTAATGTGAGGTATATTAAATCTACTTATAAGTGACTTCTCACATTTGAAAGTGATGTAGCATTTGAAACGAGGGTGCTCAGTAATCTTACACAGCACATTCTTGCTGAGTGTGCCAGATGGCAAAACTTACCATGTCCTAACTCTGAGCACTAGGTCAAGGTGAGCACAGTATGGCCTCACAGTGAAGCTCTACCTGTTGAGTGTGAGGCCGGGGTAGGGGATGTGGGGGGGAGGGTGCGCAGGGTGGGGAGAGGAGGTCAGGGGGCAATGAGACTCTCTTATTTGGTATTGACTATGGTGCTTAGTACTTGTTCAAAACATTTTAGGTCCTGGGACATAACCCTATGATATGTAGTATCCACCTGGGCCTATTTTGTCATCTTCATAGGTCTTGGGAAAGAAAGGAAAGTAAAATAAATAGGCTGACACTTGAGCTAACAAAGTCCTTTGTTTCTGAACCAAAATTCTCATGGCTTTTGCCCATATTTGCAAAACAGTAGTAGGCTAACCTACTAGCCCACGTGTATAACAGAGGAAAAGCCTAGTCTCATAATGACCTACAGGAGTCGATGTGGCACATATGACTATTGCTCAGAAATCCTCTTCCACTTGCCATCCCTGCCTCCATGAAAAGTATCATTTCCTGCCTTTCTCTTGACAAGTTCAATTCAATCCCTATCAAAAGTGATATCAAAAATCCTATCAAATTGTTCAGAAATTGATGAGCTGATCTTCATCATAAGACTTACATGGGGGCCCAATGCCAGAGGCTCACACCTGTAATCATAGCTATTCAGGAGGATGAGCTATGAGGAAGAAAGTCCATGAGCTCTTATCCCCAATTAACCACCAAAAAGCCGAAGTTGAGCTGTGGCTCAAGTGGTAGCTAGAGCTAGATGCTGGAGCATAAAAGCTTGGAGACAGAAAGAAAAAAAACACATTCAAATATGTATCTAAGGGTTCATTTTCCTAACATTACATTATCTGACCTTTTCTGCTTGACTCATTCTTGGTTCATAGCCCACAACCAACACATGCGCGCGCGCGCACACACACACACACACACACACACACACACACACACACACACACACACACACACACACACACAGCATGGGACTCAGAAAATCCAGAACAAGTTGGACAATAATAAAATTGTAAACCTCACATTTCCTGATTTCAAAACCAACTACAAAGCTACAGTTATTAAACAGTGTGGTGCAGCCATAAGGGTTCACATGTAAATAGAATAGAAATCAATGTCCAAAAATCACCATTATGTTTATGTTCAGTCAATAAAAAGAACACTATGCAAAGGAAAAAATCTAAAATGTTCAATCACAGTGCAGAAATAAGTGTACATCCATTTGCAAAGAATGATGTCAGATCCTTACCTCAAGTCATATACAAAAAAGGAACTAAAATTCAATTATAGACATAAGCACAAGATGTAAAAAATAAAACAAGAAAAATACATAAATCTAAATCTCATTACTTTGTTAATGGTTTCTTAGATATAACACTAAAATCATAAGAATTTAAAGAAAAAATATAAATTGTACTCCATTAAAATGTAAAACTTTTGTGTCTTTCATTTTGTGTTCTCAAAATGAAAGAAACAGCCGGGCACAGGTGGTTCTTGCCTGTAATCCTAGCTACTCAGGAGGCTGAGAACTGAGGATCATGGGTCAAAGCCAGTCCAGGCAGCAAAGTCCATGAGACTCTTATCTCCAACTAACCATTAGAAACCGGAAGTGGTGCTGTGGCTCAAGTGGTAGAGCACTTACTTTAAGATGAAGAGCTCAGAGACAGCGCCCAGAGTTCAAGATCCATGACTGGCAGAAAGAAAGAAAGAAAGAAAGAAAGAAAGAAAGAAAGAAAGAAAGAAAGAAAGAAAGAAAGAAAGAAAGAAAGAAAGAAAGAAAGAAAGAAGGAAGGAAAGAAGGAAAGAAAGAAAGAAAGAAAGAATTTGCAAATCTCCATTCTGATAAAGGAATCAGATACAGGTTAAAGAACTTACAACTCCATAATAAACAACAGAACTCACTTGTTAGATGTAAGAAAATATAATAAACATGTCTTCAAAGGCGATATATAAAAAGGAGGGGCAATCACTAGCATTGCCACGGATGTGGACAAAGTGAAACTCTCATGCGTGGAGATGTATGCTAAGTGAAGGAGCCAACCCCAAAGACAGCACGTCTACATTTATGTAGTCTACAAGGCACGCCCACAGAAATAGAAAGTGACTTAGGGGCTGGGGAAGGTGGGACCGAGGAATGGACTGTTTGTGGACGAGGGTGACAAACTGTCTTGGAATTAAAGACACAATGAGAGTAAATGAAAAACTCACTGTAAAGGAGGGATTTTCAGTAGGTGAATTATATTTCAGTAAAGCTGTTCAAACAACCCAACTTTCCAGTGGGTTTCCCAATTTGGAATGTGACTTTGCACTTTACTTCTGTCTAGGAGTGTTAGTGGAAGGTTAAGGGTAAAGGCCCTACTTTTGAGTGGTTACAATAACTTCAATTAGGCCCCTCCCTCTCCATGCCTCAGCCACGTTCATTTATTTGTTCACTGAATGTAACAAATTCATTTCCTTCTCAGAGGCTGTAGCAAACTCTTCTTTCTTCAGAGATGGTTTTTCTCCAGTTTTGGGGTTTTTGTCATTTTACCTTACAAACTTTTCCCTCAGAACCCAGGTTAGCCACTTTAAAGTAGCTGCAGGTGACTTGCACCATTCATTAGTTCCTTTTTATTATCACTTATTTAATTCATTCCTTTGATAAATGTGTATATTTTGTATATGCTGAGCACTTCTGGGAATATAACAATGACCAAAGGCCCAAATTCTGGCCTTCAGTTTACCTAAAACTGATAGGAGTGGGACAAATAAATACATGGTGCTAGTTATAGAGCTAACAGTTAAAGAGAAATATTATAACCATTATAGAGAACCTACCAGAGTAATGAAGAGCTTCTACTTTCTATGAGACTGGTTGTGGAACAACTACGAAGCTGACTGTAAATCAGATGTCTAAGGTAAATAAGGCGGGGGTAGCTGCAAGGGGTGAAGGATGCTAAGAGAACAACTTAAGGCTGTGGTTTACAATATTAATGGTGGTCAGAAAAAAAATGGTGGGGAAAAATGACAGGGATCTAGTCATGTTCCTCTCCCAACCTCCTCCAGGGAAGAGATTGTTCAAAGACATTCTGAATTTGCAGTGTTCAGTAGGAACATCTGGCGGCAGGCAAGAAGATGGGACTGGAAGATGGGATATTAGGACTAGAAACCAGAAAAGGGAGAGAAGCTGGCAAGAAGTAGGTACAAGCTCTGAAAATAGAGTGCGTGCAAGGTAGATTATCTTTAAGATATTCCAGAAGCTCCCCGTCCACTCTTCAACCCTCTGCAGGTGGCTTTCTTTTGTATGGTCAACCACAACCCCAATGCATGAGAGTTCCAGAAACACATTATACAGTTGGAAAATAAAAAATTAGCTTTCCTCTTTGGCATTCTGTGCCTATGTGTGTGGCAGTACAGAGGTTTGAACTCAGGGCCTTGAAACTGCTAGACAGGCACTCTACCATTCAACCTATGCTCCCAGTCCTCTTTGGCATTAAGAAAAATATCCAACATCTTTTGTTCAAGAAACACACTATCACTCTGGGTTTCTGCCTCTGGTACGTTTGTAGGCATTTTTTTAATACTACATTCATACTTGCAACTTATTTCTAACACTTTTTTTTTTTGGGTCCGGTCGTGGGGCCTGAACTCTGGGCCTGGGCGCTGTCCCTCAGCTCTTCAGCTCAAGGCTAGCGCTCTACCACTTGAGCCACAGCGCCCAGCTTTTTTCTTTTTGCTTATGTGGTGCTGAGGAATCGAACCCAGGGCCTCATGCATGCAAGGCAAGCGCTCTACCACTGAGCCACCTTCCCAGCCCTTCTAACACTCTTTATAGATCAAAACGCAAATAAAGTGATTCAAGGTAGACAAAAGCACTAGCATGTCTTCACTAACAACTGTTCAAAAGCATACATTTCTCTTGCACCCTCCAAGAACATTCAGCTTTTATAGGCAGTGAAGTCTGGGTGTGTTCAGACTAAAATGAGTAAGGCAGATTTTCTGTCCTTCTCAAGCCCCATGGCTTATACAATTCCCTTTAAGTGGTACTCATTTCGTTAAGCTGTGTGATGATGAGTATTTTGTCATGTTTTCCTCTTACGCTGAAAAGAAAAGAACAGCTCCTATTAAGATTAGAACTGTTGAGTTGTACAGACATGAAAACAGAGAAGTGTTTCTTTTCTTATTTGGTAAATATTTTGCTTTGGAGGCATCAGTAACTAATCACAGCTGTTTCCTTCAGTTACAAATGGATTCAATCAGGTAGAATTTCAAATGAAATGCACAAACCACCAGAGTCATTCCATTATTCAGTACAATGGTAGCGTCAAGCCTTGTGAAATATATGTATTAAGTATGCATGTATTCATCAAATCAGACAAAGAAGCTAATGGGTCTCTGATTAGTGTTCTAACTCTATTATGGTGATACTTTCATCTCACCCTGACTCATCTAAAACATGTGAACAAAATGCTAGTAAGTTTGATGTACAATCTGTTATGTGACATTATTCTGCCTAAAAACTGCACACTGAATTTTGGCTAGAGCTTCTCTTGAAAATCAAAGGCAAAAAAGAGCTGTTGTGAAGTTGACAGATTCTTCAGTATTAACACTAGTAATTTTAATGCTTTATATCAAAACTAAGTAACTAATCAGATCCTAATTTATGCCCATCTAGGATTCACAAAATACCTCATGTCTAAAGAGTCTGTGGTAAGGATACTAGAGAACAATAGCTACTTCAGTCCAGAATCAAGGTATCAGAAAAACAAACAAATAAAAAATATTCTTTTATTTGACATTAAAAAAATAAATGTGACAACTTATAAATAAGTTTCTTTAATAATAGACTGAGTGCTGGATCCAGAAAACAACATAACCAAAAATATCCATTAAGAAATAAAAGCAGTGTTCTTTAAGGGTTAATTCACTGTAAAAATTTCATTTAAAAAATACGACGATTACAATCAGGCAGATACCGACTTAGCTATGCCTAAGTTCTGTTCCATAAAGTATGCTTTTTGTTGGGCATTGTGACACATCTCAGCACTTGGGAGGCTGAGGCAGCCCAATTCTAGGCCAACCTGGACTACCTTTGTGAGACTCTTGTCTCCAAAAAACAAAGAAAAAAAACTTTTAGAGAATACTATGTCATCTTATACATTTCTTCAGATATTTGGTTTTTTTTTCTCTAAACAGTATAGAAGTACTCCTTGATGAACTCTGATATCTACAATACAAACTTGCTTTTAAGGGAGCCCAGGATCATCTAACTGTAAAGCAGGTCCAGTTTGGAAAGTAACAATGAGGTGGCAATTAACAATAGTACCAATCTTTATTAAAAATTAACGACCTTTGGTATTTTTGTTTTAGGTTTCTGTGGTTTAGGCATATCCAAAATTTCTTCATAGTCTGCACTCATCCCCTTTGCCCAGCGACCAACTGTGACCATTCGATCTGTAGGGAATAGGAAAGTTAGGAAATAAGACAAAACAGTAATCAAATGCATGGTCCTTAGATCAGTATTGCTTTAGCAAAGGAACTAGTTTTGACATGAATAATCACAAGGAGGAAAAACTCCATCACTAAAGGAAAGTGAGCAATTCTGTAATTGATTATAACCCTTGATTTTAGAGTACCACAGGCAATTTCTCCTCCCAATTAGGGAAATGCAGCAACTACTTTGCAATGCACAAACTGATGAGAAAGCTCTTTCATTCTTTCCCAGAGTTCATCATTACAGAGCCAATGAATTCTGAAAGTCTGTAAACATCAAGACTTATGAAACATCAGTTTTAAATGCACAAGATTCCACCTGTGAAATTATACAACATCTGCTTGTCAGTCTTGTTATTTGGGAAGTGGCAATCCTCCCAGGAGGGAGAATTCAAATCCCACTTCATCATTTCAATCTTACTGCCTACAGGGTGGTAGAGACTATCTTCTAGACAAGATTATAAATAAGAACTCTTCGTTTTAAAATTTAAATGTTAGGGATAGGAAGTAAGAACAGGCAGACTGCTGAAGTAAAAGAAGTGTACATTTCCCTAAGAAGTACTACAGGACCACCTTGCTGTCCGCTGTCCTGCTTCCTTTAATGCCTGATTATCATCAGGAGAACTAATGAAATAATCATCTTTCCTTTTCTCAAAAGGAAATAAATTTGCTGTTTCAAATATGAGGTTTTTGATAAACAGGCTTGTATTTCACTAGGAAGAAACTAACTAGCCAGATGCTGTGTTGATAACACATTTTTAATAATTTTGGCAGTTTTTGCAATTAACTTTGAATTATTTAAGCACACACAAAGCAAGGCATATATGAGGAAACTCAATCCTCCAAACATGGAAAGTTATGTTCATATATCCATTTTTCTCTTGGTACATCAATTTTTTTCTGTAAATAATTACTTACAGAATTATGTTCTAATATAAATTTATTAGTAAATTTTAAAAGCTTAGAAGATGCAGTATAAAACAAGACATCTATGGTTTACTGATCATATATATGTATGTGTGTGTGTGTGTGTATATATATATATATATATATGTATACACATACTTTTTCCTGAAAATTATAGCTAATGCTCAATTACTCAGTTCTATGTCTACTGCTGACACAAAAGTAATTAAGACATTGGCAGGGGAGGAAAACAGTTGTCTTTAATAAACAGTGTCTCTGACTTATTAGTAAAATGCAACAAAAATACAGAGGAATACCTACCTTATCCTTTCTAGATTGAGGGCTATAGACTCACCTGAATTATGACCCTCAGGGCAATCTTTCTTAAAATGTTCCACAGAGCCACAGAGTTTGCAGCCACCACCTGGTAAAAGAACAAAGTCATTGAATTAGACCTTACACTTACACAGACAGGGCCTGTAGTATCTCAAAGCACTTTTGTATCTCACTTGATCCTTACATCCCTGAAGCTGTAAGGTGGCTGAAGACAGGAAGCTAAGTGGGTAGGTAGGTGTCACTAGTTCCCTTTTTTGAGTCAGTCTCACTATGTAACCCATGCTGGCAAGCTGGCCTGCCTCAGCCTCCCCAGTGCTGGGTTAGAGGTATGTGCCTCTATTCCTCTTAATTCATCCTCTGTTTCTCTCATTTCACTAAGTGCTCTTTTCCAATCCACTGCTTCTGATACCTAGTCTTTAGGGGAGAAGTGGAAAAGAGATATAGTAGAGGCATGTGTTCAATCACTAAGTGCTAATGTTACCAACCCACTGTTCTTTGTACCTGGCCCTTAGGGGACAAGTGAAAATGAGAGATGTACATATCCAAAAGCTATGAAACAGTCATTTGAATTTTAACCATGTTTGACCAGATAAGGGTACCCTTATCTTGCAAACAAAATCTGAGTGCAGGTGCTTGTTGTTTGTTTTGGTTTTGTGGTAACTAGGATTTACTCAAACCTTTCTGATTATTAGCCTGATGCTTACCATGTTAACCTTGCCCCCAGCCCTGTTTTATGAGATAGTTTCACCATTCAGACACATACTTCAGCTATGATCTGCCTATTGCAGGCAAGGATTAGTGATAGTCACTGGTAGATGACTCCATATACTTTGAAGGAAGCATGGAGGTAGAATCTTCCAGACTTTTTGGCTGGGTCAGGCCTAGAACCTCAACCCCCTAAATTTCAGCCCCACACATAGCTTAGGATAACACAGATGTGCCTGTTGAGAACTTTTCTGCTTAGGCTGGCCTTAATTCTCAGCCTTCCAAGTAGCTTAGGATTACAAGTGTAATCTTAGTATTTGGCTCAGATGAATGTTTTTGAAGTTGGCTAAAAATTTCATCAGAGTCTAAGATAGTCAATGACCACCTATCTACGCCCCATCCCAAAAAAAAGTTAGGAACTACCACCGTTATATTATAAATGTCAAATGGAAGTGAGCATTATAAAAGGATTTAAAGTAACTTTTGCTTCAGAACCTTTCATATTAGCATTAGGGTGCTGTAAATCTAATGAAAATAACCACATTTCTGCTTTAAGCAATGTTCCAGGATTTTGAATAACACACATAGTTCCTATTACAAGTCTTTCACCTAATGGTCAAACACAATTATGTAATGGTCAGATATTGTCATAATCATGCTTATAATACTAAGTGACTCTGTCAAAAAAATGACCCTACAGATACAAATCTGGATGAATTCTCACACCTCTTGCCTATTTCATTTTTTAATATACTTTAATCATGCAGTATCATTTTGGCTCATTAGAAAATTTCTAAGCCTAAGGGCTCTTTATTGTCTTCCATGCCAAAGGAAAATTGACTAGACAATGGAATAATATAGTTTAACCCTTCTAATAGGTAAATACCATGGTTCATTAAATACTAAATACTATTACTAAATGTAGCATCATTCCACGTACCTCTCAAAAAGGGAAAACCTATCTATTATATGGGACTCACCAATGCTAAGATAAAAATTTGAAAATAAATAGGCATCCTATTTGTTTTTGCATCTCCAGTTTATAGATAATGAAACACAAGCTTAATAATGGTCAAGACTCACAAACTAAAGTCCTACAACTAAATACCTTTTAAATCTTGTATTAGTTTGAGATATAATCCTTCTGCTTCTGTTACATTTAAATGTAGAAATGTATACCTTACACTCACAAATGATGCTGAAGCAAGTAGTTTGGAATACGCATCTTAGTTTTGTTCCAATTTATTAATATAACAAGTCGTATTACACTACTTACCATCAGCATAGACTCCTTTGGGATTATCAGGACATGATCTTGACAGGTGGCCCATCTCCCCACAAACAAAACATTTTGCAAATGGAAACTCACCTGTAAAAATCACCAGTGCCTTATGAATATGACAAGTTATATAATTCATACTATGTTTAAATACACTAAATAGAATACATGTATTTTTCCTAATTTGAAACTTAACCTTAAATAATTTCAAAATCTTACTGGCATGCTTATAAAAAGAAAAAATGTCCAGTTGGTTATGTGTCATTTTCCCCACCAACCAAACAAGAAACAAAGAGAACATACCCAGAGCCGGGTCTACTTTAGCTCTGCACTTGGTTATTTCATGTTCTGTGGACCCACACCGATAACATATTCCAGTACCCATATCTTGATTTTCAAGGGCAGCGGGGCAATCTGCAACTCCATGGCCAGGTTTTCTACAATGGAAGCACACCTGAGAAAATAAAATGTGAGTTTACACATTGAAAACTATACAGTGATGTTACCAGTTCTTGTTATTAATAGTACCTTTAATAAAACTTTCATTTTAAAGTTCTTTGTAAAAAGAAATGTATGTAGAAATATGTGGAAAAACGTGCTTTACACATTTCTAAACATTTTTATCAGTGCTTTTAAAATTTCCAACCTGTAAATCTATTTATCTCAGAAACAATGTCATACATGGCTTTGTAGAGGCGACTGTTTAAATGAATTGAGTGGCTATGGATTATTTATCTCATTAATAAGGACATCCAACACCAGAAAAAAGCTTTCTGTAGAGGATAGAACATAGCTTAAAATTATTAAATTAAAAATATCTGCATCTATAAAATTAATTTAATTCAATGAATTTGGAACAAATGTTTTAATTTAAACTGATTCAAATCACAAGATACATTTCAAAACAAAAAAGTATATCCTTTTTGTTTTTGTACTCTTAATGCATAGCAACACTGAGTAAGAGGTTTTATTTTAGAATATATGCTCAATACATGTTAAAGAAATAACTAATACTTAAAGAAATTATTTTGCTCTAATATAAACTTGAACAATGACTAGAGGTAGGAGGAGGGGGAAATGAGGTGGATATGATGTGAATATAAGTACATTTTATTTATATATGAAAATAGCACAATGAAACCCACCAAAACCTGTTAAAAAGGAGAGTAGAGTGGTTAAGAAGAGTAATAAGATGGAGTGAAGTTCTTCAAAGTACTTTTTATACATATTGTAAATATCACAATAAAGCCCCTTTGTGATATTAATTTATGCAAACAATTTTTTTGTTTTAATTTTATTGTCAAAAGACGTACAGAGGGGTTACAGTTACATAAGTAATGAGTACCTTTCTTGTCAAACTTGTTACCCCTTCCCTCATTTTTCTCCTACTTTCTCCCCAACCCTCCCCCCAGTTGTACAGATTATTTCTAACATATTGTCTTCTGAGTATTCCTGTTGCATTGGCTCCCCTTTTGTCCTATGTCTCACCATTTTGTTGTTCCCCTACTGAACAATATAGTCATACATAATACTTAGCAGTTTGTAAAATGTTTTTCTGCTGTTTTTTAGCAGAAGTGAAATTTGAACTTGAGGCCTTGTACTTGTTGGACAAGCACTCTACATGAATAACACCTTTTCTGTCAGATAAGCCATGGACTTCACCTCTCCTAGATTTTGGCCTCCTATATAGCTTGGATACAGACATGTACAAAGTACCAATATGTCAAGCAAGTTCCAGGTTTTGAAGTCAGACAGACTGAGTTTAAATTTTACCTCTGTTACCGACCAAGTGGCTTTCACTAAATTACTGAACATTTCTGCACTTTAGTATTTCCTTTCTGTAATATAGGAACAATACTATCTTCTCTGTACTGTTAAGATAACTAAAGTACATCAAATATATGTGTGCTAAAAAAGTACAAACCCTTTTAAAGATGTTTTATTAATCTAGGATAGCATCTACTAAAATATGCATGTGTGTTTATGTGTAAATGGATGAGAATCCATCTTACTATATAAATAACAAGGTAGAAGCGATGACTTACCATTGCATTTTTCTTTGCTGCTTGTCTTTTTAACCGTCTTCCTTCACGCCGATTGTCTTTCTTTAAAGCAATTGCAATTTCCTCTCTTACATCCTGGCTGTCTGTTGCTATTATCTCTCCATTGTGAACCATCTGGGAATTCTGTCTTAGGTATTCCATGAATCCATTCACATCTTCATTTAAGTACTCCTTTTTCTTTTTGTTCTTTTTATGCTTGGCCTGGTGTGTATCATTTTTAAGGGACAGCCTACTGGCTTCAAGTTGTTGATGTTTTGGAAGGTTTTGGCTCCTTCCTTGCAAGGATCCCTTCTTCATGTCTTCCCATGATGTTGCAGACAAGGGCCTCTTATTATGGGTGGTACTAACTCTTGCCCACCTGGTCATGATGTCATCTGAGGTTCCTCAACAATCTTTAAGATAACAGGGGTGGTTATCAATGAAAAAACAACTAACTGGGTATATCAGTTATCAGATATGCCCATGGTAAACTTTTTTTTTTTTAATTTATGGGGCTGGGAAGGTGGCTCAGTGGTAAAGTGCTTGCCTTGCATGTATGAGGCCCTGGGTTCGATTCCTCAGTACCACATAAGCAGAAAAAGCCAGAAGTGGTGCTGTGGCTCAAGTAGTAGAGTGCTAGCCTTGAACTGAAGAGCTGAGGGACAGTGCCCAGTCCCAGAGTTCAGGCCTATGACCGACAAAAAAACCAAAACAAAACAAAAAAAACCCAACTTGTATTTATTAAAACACATTTGATTTCATTCAGACATTTACATATATATTTAATTCTATGATATGCTACATAGATATGTCTCTAACATAAATCTGGCATTTGCCAGAGAAGTTGCAATGCTAGTGAAGGTGAGGCTTATTGGGAGAATGTATACTTTCTTAAAATTCTTAATTTGCTAAGAAATCGAGTTATTTCCAAAGTCACAAAGTACACAGCAATGCAGTGAATGGAGGTGTTTCCCACCTCAAATCCAGTCTTCCAAGCTGTTTATTTTCCTACCTCAAAGTCCCAAGGCTATTTTCTCCCAATCATCCTGCCATTTTAACATAACGACCTAGAAAACTGTACAGAGATCTTATCCTCTGAGACCCCTTAAAATCAACTGATATGTGAACTGACATTCAGTATATCTTGTCCACTACCAGGGCTGTCCGCCCAAATTAATGATTCTGTGTATGTACACACACACACACACGACCATACATCCAAATGACCCAGGGGGTGGGGGGTGGGAGGGGTTCTCCACTCTTGTGACCTGAAGTTCATCTTTATAAGTCTTCCTGGCAGACTTTTCAGTAAACTGGTATATAAAAGTTGCCAGCAGTCCGGTGATGCTGTCTTACTAATAGCGAAGGTGGCTGCTGTTTGCAGCCAACTGGCTTTAACCGATTTGCAACTGCTTCCTTTTAATTATGTTTCAGAGCACAAGGGAACGCTTGAGATCCCGACGGACGGCAAGAGGGCGTACCGTCGCGTTCCCAGCCGGCCGTGGCGTGTGCAGCGCGCACGTCCACGCGGTTTAAAGGCGGGCCGCCGAGGCGCCAGAGCTGGTGGCTCCAACAGTGTTTGCGGTTACTTCCAAGCTACCTCCGCAGAGAACAAGGGCGTTATTAACCGCAGTGTTCCAGAACAATCATCTGTCTTTTCCAGGCGGCCCGGCCGGCGACGCCTCCGTCCCGGAAGCTCTCGCCGCGGTCCGGGGCTGCCAAGCCTTCCCGCCCCGAGGGGAAGTGGGCGCCCAGGCTGCCGAGCGGAAGCCCTCTCCCCCCGGCCGACCGGGCAGGCTGCGGCCGTCTCCGCCAGCTCCAGGAAACCCACCCATGGAGGGGGCCGAGGGCCCCGGTAGACGACCTCCCTTACCGCGCGCGAATCCTCCAGAGCAGCCGAGTCGCCGGAGCAGAGCAGCCCAGCCCTCCCTTCGGAGGGAGGCGGGCTGGCCGTGAGACCGGAAGCACGTCGTCCCTGCGATACGTCACTTCCGGCGGTCCCGCCCCAGGCAGGCGCCGGGTAGGCGCCGCCCGTCGGCTTTGGGTTTCCCTGCAGGTTGGTGGACGAGGGTTGCATTTCACGCGTTTGTGGAGACCCCCAGTACCTGAAGCCGTGGAGTCGAGGATGGATAGGAGCTCCGTCTGTGGTTTTGCCGCTTGGGGGCAGAGGCAGCTGGGAGGGTTGGTAGGAGACGGTCTGGAAGTGGGTTCTGGGAAGGCAGGATTAACCAAGTCGAGAGACATTAGCTGCGTGAGGTTGTTTAGGACGCTCCGACCAGAGCCCGGGGGACAGGGCAGCGGGGATGGACCACTGATGACAATCTGGGGGTCACTGGGGCCTCAGTCTGGTGTATGTGGTAAAAGGGCCTCGTCTGGTTGACCATTCATTTGAAATACTACCACCAGGCTTGCAATCCCAGCTGTTAGATCCACATGGCCTTATCTGAAGGCCCCAACTCTTTGTCCACTCTGTCGCGCCCCGTTTTCCCCTTTATGAAGCGCCCACCAGCTACTCCTTGAGGCTAGCCTGGGCAAAAGGTTATCAAGTCCCCATTTCAACCAACCACATGTGTAGTCCCAGCCTGTGTGTAGGAGGATCACTGTTCCAGGCAAACTGAAACAAAAATGAGAGGGGGGGAGGCTGGTGTGGCTTAAGTGCCTGCCTAGCAAGCCTGCAAATCTGTGTTCAAACTTAAGTACTGCCCAAAACAAAGTTTCACCTTGTGGCTAAAGTTAACATTTTAAAGGAAATCCCTACTCCTGAGCTCTCCATTGTTCTTTCCCAATACCATAACTCTGACTAGTGAGAAAATGGCACACTGTGATAGCCCCCTAGTTCCCCAATATCGTGCTTGTGCATAATTTGTTGCTTTTTTTTTTTTAATCTGGTATCAGGGCTTTAAACAAGGCCTCTTGCTTGGGTTTCTCCCTCTATGGATTGACACTCTACCACTTGAGCCACACCTCCAGAATTTTTGCTAGTAAATTGGAGATAGAGTCTCTCAGACTATTCTTCCCTTAGTTGGCTTCAAGCTGAATCTTCCACATCTCAGCCTTCTGAGTATCTAATATTACCGGCATGAGCCCGTACAACACTTTTTTCTGTCTCTCCTTTCTCCTCACCATGCTCCCTCTTCTTTCTTTTAAAATCTCTCCTGCCATTGTCTTAAGCTTCCACGGAACTGAAATCTGGGCAAATGTTCTTTCCTTACCTAAATTTCTCTTCCAACTGAACATTTGAAAATGTAAATTAGGGTGCCAAATCAGATTGTTGCCATCCATCTTTAAACTCTTCCATTGTTTCTCATTGTTCTTGGCATGATCTCAAATTCTCTAGCTTGGTATTAAGTCCCTGCCTACTTTACTAGTCTTATCTGCACAATTTCCCTCTCTTTTTATGTTGTAAAAATAAAGACCTTCTTTTGATTTCTACCACCTGAACTTTGCTAGCCTCAGGACCTTTCTATGTGCTACTCTCTTTTCTTTTAATTGACTTTTTAATCTTCCAAGGCTACTATTATGTTATTCTCATGAAAACTCTCAAATTTCCTTCCTCTCATAGTTGACCAATCACCTGATGTATACTTACAGAAGTTTATTCTTCCTGATAGCTCTTTTCAAATTTGTAATTACATAATGAATTGAGAAATAAGTTACTTATTGTATCATAATCGCCTGGTACAGAGTCTTTGCTTAGTGCATAGTGTGGTTTTAGCTAAGGGAGAATACTCTGGGTTTACTTACAGCAAACTAGAAAGTATCCGATTTTCCATCAAATGTTGTGATTTAGTATGGCGAATGTCACAATATCCTAGAAAAATTTAAAGACGGAAACAGTACTGCAGATTTTGAAAACAATGAGCTTCTTCAAAGTAATGTGAGAATGCTTCTCATACCATAATGATCTCATTCAGTGGGTTTAAGTTCTAAGCACCTACATTTCAACTTAGTGTGGGGTTTATGGGTTCCTCTGTGCCTCAACACCACATATGCCACTAGAGGGCGCATTCAAGCAAAACTTGTCCTTTTATTATTTGCAGAATTTTAGATTGTGGGAACACTTCAATTTATTTTAGTGGAGGTACACCAAATAAAGATGGGCAGATGAGTAAGTAGGTCATAAGATGAATCCCTCTAGATTCAGGAGAAAGGCTACTATTATTAAATATTTTGTGGGTCCCTGATGCTATGTTTAATGCTTTACATTAGTTCCCTGATTAGTTCATAGGATATTATGAGGTAGATGGTATTATGCTCTCAATTTTATAATGCAGAAACAAGCTCAGGGAGCTGAGGAATTTATCCAGGTTCATTCAGCTCGTCAGAAATAGAGCCATCATTCCAAAGATTTTATGTTATAAAACGTTGAAATGCTGCAGGGGTTGCTTGTCCACTTGAACTCATTTTCAAATATACTTTAATAACCTATCCTTGCCAGTGAAAGAGATGCTGTACCTTTACAGTTCAAGGGACTGTCTTTTTTATTAATTTTCCACTTAAATATTGAAATACTATGTGTTATTTTCATAACAAAATATAAATGAGGCAAATGTTAAGTGAAAATCCAAAGGACTGATTATGAAGGGTTATGATTCCATTTTAAATAAATAAAACATACTATGTACACCAAAAAGGATAGAAAGCATTTGAAGTAATTACAAAACACATGCTCACATATTACAGAGTTTAGAAAATCTCACCATTGCCAGATATTTTTAATTATGTCACTATAGGCTTTTGCATGGGCAATACATAATTATGTTTCAAACAAATAAAATGTTTAGATGATGTAAACTTTCTACAATCATCTTTGTAATGACAGTAAAAGTTCTAGACAGAATATAAAAAGCAACTGCCTGTAGATTCAGAAAAATAAAGATAGCCAGTTGTGGAGGGAAGTCAGAATTTGTAGAAACAAGTAATTTGTAACTAACCTTAAGCATGTCTGGGTGTTGGCCTGATAGTAGGCCACAGTCATAAGGGGGTAAATAGCTGAAAATGGAATTAAAAGTCCTATCCCCTACACATATACACATAATCTTTCCAGTCAGGGAAACTAGAAAAATAAGAATCCAGCAGCCATACTTGGAGAGAAGGTTATGTTGAGGAAAGAGATCCACAAAGAGAAATCCTATCCTTTTGTGTATGAATGTCATTCAGGCCTTAGGCAGGGGCAGAAGCACACATACACAGGAAATATTCAGAGGCATAAGGCAAAGAACTATGACTAGAATAAAAAAAACAAGCTCAAAGCCTTTATTTAGCACAAAGCTAGGCAAGTGAATTACCTGCATTTACTTATTTTTTCTTGAGGAATACGCAGAATTCAACACAAAATACATACCCACAATGTCCAGGATAAACACCCAGCTGCCTTAATATGCAAGGAAAATATAAAACATTTTCAGAAAATAGTAACAGGTGATAGCGCTAAGATGACTTGTAGGGGGAATTACCTGACAAAGACTAAAGAATCTATTTTGTAACACTAGCTACTCAGGAGTGGAGATCTGAGGATTGCAGTTCAAAACTGGCCTAGGAAGGAAAGGAAAGTCCTTGAGATTCTTATTTCCAATTAACCAGCAAAAAGTTGGAAGTGGAGGTGTGGCTCAGGTAGTAGTATGCCAGCCTTGAGTGAATAAGTTCAGAGATAGGACCCAAGCTGAGTTCAAGCCCCAGCACACTCACTCACACATATGTGCATACACACGCACACACATACACACACAGAATCTATTAAAACTATGCTCAAGGAAGTAATGAGTAATATAACTTAAAGTATTCAAAAATGCTTAAAATGGAGGAAAAATGAGAACTTTTAATATAAAGTTAGAAAATGCAAGAAAGAATGAGCTCTAAATTTTAAATGTAGTACTTGAAAAAAGAATTTACTGTATATGCTTAATAAAATGAAAAAAAGAATCCGTGAATATGAAGAAAGTTTGAGAAAAATTATCCTGTATGAAGAACTGAAAAAATATACTGGAAAAGCTGCAGAAGTTTAAAGATCATGCCAAAGGCCTAGTATACCTTCAATAGGAGACACAAGAGAAGAAGAGAAAATATGGAGCAGAAACATGTGCATATTTGGGTTGTTACCAATTATTTACAGACAAATCTGCAATAACAAATTTACTTATGTCATTTTGCTTATGTAAGAATGTATTTATAATATATAAATTCCCAGAACATATCTAAAGATATGTTCAGAAGGGGTGATGTTATCAAAAAAGAAATGTATGCTCTGTCCAATCAAACAGCCGGTTGGAGACAGAAACCAACAATAGTTGCATTGGAGGTTGACCCATCTTTTTAGACAGGCATTCTTAAGTGCCACTGACAACACTGTTCTGACAGTGTTTCACAGATAGCAACGGTTCATCAACAGATGTTTCTCAACATGGGATTTCTGCTGACTATATCAGAGGAAGTCAAGTTATTCAGCCTCATGATGATACTGAGGACAGTATGCATGATCATGAAGATATGAATGGTTCAAAAGAAAGTTTCAAAAGCTATATATGACCATATAACCCAATGCTAAGCAAAATGAATCCCAAGATAGAGACACAAGAGGTTTTATCTTTGTTGCTGTTCTTTTTAATGCACTTATAATGTACTATGTGATTTTTTTTTGTTTCTTTGTATGTTCTTCCCCCATGGTACAACTCCTGCTGTCACTATATTTGATTCCAGTGTCCTGCATCTTGTATATACGTTTTCTAATTTGTGGAGGGGAAGGGAAATAACAAAATGCTGAAATAAGGATACAGGATGACCCATTGTAACAATGAGTTCTACAAGACACTATGTTGAAAATGAATTTTACCACTTTGGGGGTGTGGTGGGAGAGGGGAGGGAGGAGTTGGGGAGGAAAGGGATGGTAGGGGAAAACTAAAGGATGGTGTAACAATGCTCCATAGGAAATGGA